GGCATCTGCCGGCGGGCCGGGGTCTTCCCGCCCCCAGGGCAGGAGCCGCTGGGGCCGCCGGGCTCGGGCGGGTGACGCCGGGGGCCGGGCCCGTCCTGGCCGGTGGCGGCCTCGAAGGCACGGCCCACGGGTGCGCTGCTGCCGTGGTGTTTCCCAGAAGATGGACATTAGCGAAGGTTAGGGGAGAGGGGAAAAACCAATTAATTTCCTAAATGTGGGTCAGCATTTTCTTTATCCAGTCAGCTTGACCTATTTAATTTCTGAATGTGTGAGGAAAGCTCTCCCTAGAGCTTTTTACCCGTTTCAGTAAACAACGTGCTGCCGGATGCAGCAAACCAGTCAATTAAACAGGTTCTCTGATACCTCGATGCAGACAGCAACTAGGGGGTTGTTGTCAATCTGAGTGAATTGGGTCGCAAATGAAGAGGTTTGGCAGGTTTAACAAAGACACTGACGGACGCCTGTCCGCATCCCAGCACGCCTTATGCACGTGGCCTCCTTGTTTGTTTGGACTCGGGCGATGGAGAGCTGTAAGACAGCAGGGAAAAGGATTTTTGTGTGGAGGGCTGCGGTGCACAGGCAGAAGTCTGGGTAAGGTGATGCCCTGCCGCCAAGGCGTATTGATCCCTGCCTGGCTGTAAGCACCAAAATGGTTACCCAGAAATACTGGGCTATGAAAGGGATACATCCTGGTTCCTAGAATCGTTCAGCTAGAATTGTTCTCTTCAGGTTCATCACATCTTTGTCTGGCTTTCATTTTCAGTAATTTCCCAAGGATTTAAAGGTTAGTCATCATTTTCACAAAGATAATGAGTATCCTTTTCAGCCAGATGAAATGTGTAGATCAGCAGGTAGAGTGTACATCAGAATAGACAGGTATTTCCATAAATTGAAAGAAATGTTTTTGATGTGTACATCATATATAGCTAGTCTTCCTTGTATTGTTTTATATTCTTAGCAGGATGAAGAGTAACCCTCTATTTAGTGATTCTGCATCTTTAAATATACAATACTTTCAGGTCAGCTAGGAGCAGTGTCTGTGTAGAATGGTGGGTCATCTGAAAGTGTGAGGGATGCAATCAGCTATTTCACTGAATAATAAGAGTACCTTGTACCACTGCGCTTCTGGCTTCTGAGGAAAGCAAAAGTCTCTTTCAGGCTCCAGTTAAGGGTCAGCTTGTGAGGTAGAAATCATTGTCACCACTTTCAGAAGGAGAAATTGCAACAAATCGATGTTAAGAGGTGGGGTTAATAAATTATGCATTTGGTCCCTTGGGTGCATGCAGAACCAGAGCTGATGCCTAGGATCCCAAGACAGTATGGAGGGAAAGGAAGGTGTCTTGCAGAGGTGATCAGAACTAGTATAGCCTGCCAGTAAGAAACGCGGGGAGGATGGTTAGATACACTCCCTGCCCCTAAATCTGGTGCAACGTTTCAGGATGGTAGAGGAGTATTTCTCTTTAGCTGGGATTTGTAAACCAGGACGTTTTACAGCTGCTCTATAACTGCAGGTGAAGCACTCCAGCTTTATGTAATAGGCTACCATTTAGTCAGGTAATAGGAAACGTGTCCTCTTCAACTGCAGCCTCAAGTTAAGGGAGTTGAAATCCATATTGTCCATTTGCCAGGAGAGTATCCTTGTAACCAAATTCACAGGCTTTTCCTACTAAGTCTGAGACACAGCACAGCCACAAATTCAAGCTGATTGGGCCAGACAGAGCACAGTTAAGATGTTAATGTAGAGGAGGGAAGACCTAGTTTCTGCCTGCAACACCATCGTACAGTCACTGGGTATATTACATATGGTCAATTCACTGGATGTATTACATATGATCAGTACACTTCTGTTTTACGTAAAATTTGGTGAGTCATCAGAAGCAAATTTTAAGTGTTACTTATGAGCAGACCAGGCATTGTTTGTATCATAGTTTAGAACATCTGTACCTTTCTTTGGCCTCTTTCACTGGATCTGGCCAGAGGTCATTTCAAAGGGGAGATCATAACTCTGAATTCTTGTTTGCCTATTCTCTGCTTTCACTGATGACCACATGTAGTTAATTTGTCTTTCCCTTAAACATAATGACTTCTATTCCTCATTTCACATCAGTAGTGTGGAACATGTTTCATGCTTAAATACTTAATTAAAAAAACCTGACAACTCTGTCATGCCTCTTGTGGGGTAGGAGGGTAGAGAGGTAACAAAGACAGCTTCCTATGTCATCTAAAATGAAAACTGCATTTTCATAGTTTACATTCCAGTACTTTGTTTTGTGTTTCTTTTCAGGAGCAATGAAATTGTGCTGTTAACTTATGGCTTCCTGCGGGCGTTTGTCAGGCATCTTTAATCTGAAGAAAGAACCACAGAGAAGAACCGCATATTTACTAGACTATTAACACAAGAACAACGCTTTATAACTGGCTACTTCAGCCTTGCCCCGAACTTCCCGTGCAGAGTGATTGATTTTACAGGTAGGTTTTCTATATAATATTAAACTATTTCAGTCTATTGGCTGGTCGCCCAGGCAGGCCATATAAAGAGCCCCAGACAATGTTGTTTTATTTGACATAGAGCTTTACTAGGTTTTATAAATCAACCTGTCGTTTTCAGAAGTGCATGTGGAAAATTTTAGGGCTATCACTACTGTTTGACAGAACGCTTGATTTGTGGTACCATAGTCTGAGAATGATTTCATCCTGTTTTCAGATACAGGACTCTGACACTTATTTCACTGTGTGGCTAAGACCTTGGTCTTGCAAACAGATGTATTAGTAAAGCAGTTGCAGCATCAGGGCTTAGATTAGTTGGCATTCCACTTTGATATCCATTGTAATTTGCACCGTAAAATGTTCTCTCCTTCTGGATGCTCTGTCTAGGTTGCAGTCATTTAAATGCACCAAAACCAGGAAGTAGTTAGGCCAGTTGTGCTTTTGTAGAGTTTTGCTGTTAAGAGGACCTTATGTTTGCTAAATGAA